CGGTAACTACGACGTATCAGCGAAGATCACTCATGCCCTCTCTATTTGATACAGCTCCCCCAAGTGTATATGCGCGTCGGCAAGCGGTTCTGCGCAGCTATCCTGATTTTCTCACCTGTTCACAAACTCTTGTACAGATCTCCCCACCCAGAATATCAGCGCTTGCAAAAAAGCCAGCAGTAAGAGGGGGCCAAGTAATACCAGTTAAAGGCTGCAGACAGAGTCAGGAGCCCAGAGGAGGGGGCAAAGGATGTGAGGGGGTGGGGGCAAAAAGTGGAAATGAAAGCAGACGACAGAACATTGCTAGAGAGCAGGAAAGGAGGTGAAAGGAGACAATTTTAGAGAAGAAACTTTTTCGGTCGCTAACCGGATTCGAACCCGGGACCTTTGAATGAGAAGCCAACACCTTAACCTCTAGGCCACGAGAGCCCCCCAACTATTAGGTTATTAAAGAGGCGGGACCTCTGAGTAACGGCCATCTCCGATAGGACCAAGCCAAATGGGAAATTCGTGGAAAGTGTCTTTCCCAAGAACGTCGGACCGAGCTAAGGCTCGAACCCCCGTATCCGCAATCTCACGATTACGAGTCAGGTAGCCTAGCCACACTAGGCTACAACGCCACTCACAGAAGAGGTTTTAAGCTCTAGGTTTTAGTAAGACTTTTACAGCACTTGCGGCCCAATAAGGTCGAATAAGTGCCGAAGATAGAGGTGTTACTAAAGCATTCTTTGAAAATAACGTAAGTGTTTTTACACCCCCATCGGCCCAATTTAGGACATTAGAATCTAGAAGGCGCCAAGTACCTTTCCAACGGCACAGGGTAGAGTGGGGTCGTGGGGTAATAGTTTTACATTTAAAAAAATGTGTATTTGACTTCCGATTCGTTATCAGCGTCAAATTTATCGTGAACTTGATATTAAATACCATGCCAGTTTGATGTAAAAACAAAATTTAATTCTGTAATTTTAAAAAACGCCTCTACATCGTGTGGCGATAGTGTAAACTCACCTGACAAAATTAATGGCGATATCTCTAGATGTGACTGCTACATGAGCGTTAAAAAATATCGGCAGTTTGGCAAAGGTTGCGAAAATATTTGTCTAACTGTAGAGTAGGGTAGACAGAGTCTGTGGAAATATTTGTGTAACTGTAGAGTAGGGTAGACAGAGTCTGTGGAAATATTTGTGTAACTGTAGAGTAGGGTAGACAGAGTCTGTGGAAATATTTGTGTAACTGTAGAGTAGGGTAGACAGAGTCTGTGGAAATATTTGTGTAACTGTAGAGTAGGGTCGACAGAGTCTGTGGAAATATTTGTCCAACTGTAGAGTAGGGTCGACAGAGTCTGTGGAAATATTTGTCCAACTGTAGAGTAGGGTCGACAGAGTCTGTGGATATATTTGTCCAACTGTAGAGTAGGGTCGACAGAGTCTGTGGAAATATTTGTCCAACTGTAGAGTAGGGTCGACAGAGTCTGTGGAAATATTTGTCCAACTGTAGAGTAGGGTCGACAGAGTCTGTGGATATATTTGTCCAACTGTCCACGATTGTCCGACACTCACAGATGACCACTGGGTGCCTTGTGACGAGGATTGTCCTGGAGCTCTGAGGGCCAAGGCGGCCGATCTACCCACGGACAAGGTACGGGTTTTTTTTTGTTGGTTTTTTTTGTTTCGGTTTGGCTTTTATTTTGTTGTTGATTTTGTTGTTTTTTTTGTGTTTGTTTTTGTTTTTAGTTTTTTGAAAAATTTCTTTTGTGCTTTTGACCTGTTTTTGGGTGCCATAATAAAATTAATAATCCCATTCGTACCAAAGAATCATTGACTAGGAGAATGTGAGCAAATAAAAGTAAAATAATATTTCAAACTAATATATGTATATATATATATATATATATATATATATATATATATATATATATATATATATATATATATATATATATAAGCAGATTAGACGAGGAGTGAGGCAAGGACGTGTTATGTCACCAGACCTCTTTAATATGTACAGTGAAACAATCCTTAGAACATAGAAGAATGTCCAGGTCTCAAAGTAAACGGAGAAAATATTAATAACATCAGGTATGCAGATGACGCAGTTTTAATAGCAGGCTCAGAAAAGGGCCTTCAATTGCTTCTAGATACTGTTTTAACAGAAAGTGAACGTAAAGGATTAGTGTTGAATGTAAAGAAAACAGAATGCATGGTAATATCCAAAAAGCAGCAAATCCTAGTTGTAGTCTCATTAGCAAAGGTGAAAAGATCAATCAAGTCAAACAGTTTAAATATCTAGGATATATGATAACATCTGACGCCAAATGTTCCACAGAAATAAAACGGAGAATTACAATGGCTTCGGCTAGTTTCCAATAAAATGAGCCCAATCCTGAAAAATAGAAACATCTCAATGAACACCAAAATGAAAGTTCTGAAATGCTATGTTTGGTCAACCCTTCTATATGGCTGTAAATGCTGGACAATCACTAAAGACAGTGAAAATAAAATAGAAGCAACAGGAATGTGGTGTCTTAGGAGACTGCCAAGAGTATCGTGGAAGGAAAAAATATCAAATGAGGTAGTGCTTGATGAAGCCCACGTGGGACGCTCAATGTTAAAAACAATCAGGAAACGACAAATGCTGTTTTTGGGACACCTGAATAGACATAAGGGTCTTGAACATCTGGCTCTCACTGGTAAAATTGAGGGCAAGCGAGGCTGGAGTAGGCCCAGAACAACATATTTAGGGAACCTAAACAAATTGGTAACTGGGAAAGATCAGGGAAACGTAGGTTTTTTTTAAGAGCATCCGAAAAAAGGAATGAAAGGAGAACCATGATCGCCGATGTCTGTCACAGATCTAGCACTGGATGATGATGATATATGGAACAATAAGAAGATCTAAATAATAAAGATAAGATCTATGATTTGTTAGTATTTGATTATTATATAATTAGACCTATTCTACCCCCCCCCCCCCCCCATTAAAATGCTTTTTTGAAAGTGATACACGATTCACATGTTATATACCTACACATAATATTACGCTTTTACAAATCCTGTAAAGCCACAGAAAATTTCCCATAGGGTTACTTGTATTACCTGTCCTGGGCAACAACGTCATTGCACACCGGACAGGTCCAGAAGTGCTCAGTTCCCCCCAGCACCAAAGCCCGCAAGGTATCGATACTGATTGTTCCGGTGGCTGTCTGATGGTGGCGACGTCTTTCCTTTCCAGAGAATCGTTCCTTTCTTCCTTCTCCCCTCTCTCTATCCCCATTTCCCGCATCCTAATGAATGCGTGGTGTTCTGCTGTCTCCCTGTCTTCCTCATCCCGCAACTTTTTCTCCAGGGTCTTCAACACTTCTCCTTTGTCAAATTTCACCTCACCATCAACCACGGCACTGCCTGCCAGCCTATCAGCCTCCTCATTGCCTTTCACTCCAGAGTGCCCAGGACAGAATATCCACGTGATGGCTCTAAGTGATGAGTGTTGTATTGGGTTCATCCATTCACTCCGAAGAAGCCCTTTCTCGACCCTTCCCAGGATGCTCTGGGAGTCCGTGTTAATGATGAGATGGGTAGTTCTTGGTCTTGTATTTTGAAGCCAGCCAAGCGCTCTTGTTACGGCCTCAATCTCATCGTCTCAGCTTATCGTCATCTCATGTTATTCTATTCGACTCTCATCTCTTCTCATCTAATCTCATCTTTTCTCATGTCTTCTTAAACCATCTGATCACGTCTCATCTCATCTTATCTTGTCTTATCTCATCTTTCCTCATCTTATCCCCAAAGATCCGGCCCCGAGACGTCCAGATGCGGGATTTCCTGCAGTCTCTGTCCAGCCACAGAGCCACAGTGTGTGAGGGAGAGTTGACTAGACTGGAGGAGTTTACCGCGAGCTACGGACAGACTGCCTGATGTGTGTGTGTGTGTGTGTATGTGTTTGTGTGTGTGTGTGTGTATGTGTGTGTGTGTGTGTGTGTGTATGTGTGTGTGTATGTGAGGGAGAGTTGACTAGACTGGAGGAGTTTACCGCGAGCTACGGACAGACTGCCTGATGTGTGTGTGTGTGTGTGTATGTGTTTGTGTGTGTGTGTGTGTATGTGTGTGTGTGTGTGTGTGTGTATGTGTGTGTGTATGTGAGGGAGAGTTGACTAGACTGGAGGAGTTTACCGCGAGCTACGGACAGACTGCCTGATGTGTGTGTGTGTGTGTGTATGTGTTTGTGTGTGTGTGTGTGTATGTGTGTGTGTGTGTGTGTGTGTATGTGTGTGTGTATGTGAGGGAGAGTTGACTAGACTGGAGGAGTTTACCGCGAGCTACGGACA